TATTATAGCTCTGGTTCTTCAGTAGCACTGATCTTCACAAAAATTCTTATGATAGAAGAGGTAAAATTATTATAGTTTTGGGCACAGCAGGCCAAAGGTTGAAACATGCCTCCTTATGCTGTATTCCCTGGGACTCTGCTGTTTTAGTCTCCTCACTGTGAAGGAAGCACTTATCTTGGCATTCCCTACACTGGCTGTCACAAAGGTGCCCCAGCAGAGTGAAGATGGCATAGAGAACAGCAGTTCCTGCCTAGCTGACTCCTAAGGGCTAGATTCTGCAACTTGAGTAGTCTTATTTTAATAATATTACAAAGACTTCAATAACATGAGCTTGCACATGAGCTTGTTCTAAGCAAATGAGGTAAAAACTACATTCCTTCATATGCATGAGATTCAATGGCTGACTTTGACCTTAAAAGGTTCTCTTCAGGGACATCTTCATACTTGAGCAAAGGCATAACTGCCAGTGGAGGTGGGCCATACCTCTGAAGAAGCATCACTGTGGCAGAGCAGGAGCATGGTTTAACCACTGCCTTGCCGGTATGTTTAACAGGTATTTAGTGGAAGAGTGATACAATGCGACATTACTGCATTACACTTCCCTGCTGTGCTGCCTGTTCTTCAGTTATTTCTCAGGTCTGGTTCTCCCTCATCCCAGGGAGCTCTTCCTTATCCCTCCACTCTGCTTGTCCAGCCCCAGTTGCTACCTCTCACACTGAACAACTGCTAGGTCTACTCTTAGACCTGATCTCTGATGATCTTTCCAAGCTTCAAAAACCTAATTGCTGCTTCTGTCTCCTTACCTATATGCTCTCCTTCCCTGCCACCTTTCCCTGCTGGTTTCCTGCTTGTACTGCCTCATCACCCTGTCCATTTCCCCATAACCTATCCCTGTCCACTTCTGCCTCTGGATCTACCCTCTGGTATTTCAGGTCATTGCCCAAGAGTATGGGAAGTCAGAGCTTTCCAAAGAGAAGTTAATCACATTTATTTTCAGAGAGATTAGCATGGGATTTTTTACCTACATTTCTCAAAATCGCCTGAGATTATTTTTGCGAGGGTTTCACTAATAAGGATTTTCATAAATAAAAGGTTTTCACTAATGAGGATTTTGACAAAAAATACAGTAGGCTGAAGCTCTGTATCTAGAAAATACTATCCCAACCCTAGCTAGTTTTGCTACATGACAGGCACCTGAAAGCATTGTTTCCTAATGGAAATATTTGGCAACTATTCCTCATGGATGACACCAGCCTGTGATCGGGTTCGTCTTGCTTCACAGCCCAGCAGAAGGGGTTTGTGTGGTGAATGTTTGTCACCGTAATTCCTCTACAAATTATTTGGAGTTGGGATTTTCTAAAGCATTTAGGACAACATGAGACATTCAGCTATCACTGAATTATGAATTAAAATGGGATTTAAACTTCACCACTTGAAAATCCAGGTCTTAAGATTGCAGATGGGTACTTCCTCTGAGCAGTTTTTCTATCTAACCAGCACTCAAATACATAGGGTTATATTTTGAGGTGAAAATGATTTCTATTATATTCATACTTGAATCCTTTATAATCTTTCACTGCACTTGCTGGTGCTTCATACCAAACAAACATTTAATGCAAAAGACAATCCTCTAGCCTTTTTATCTATTTCTAAAACTTTTAATACATATTTATAGTGAGAACCAGTTGTGACAGCTGTCATGCTGACTCAACAATGCCTACAGAGAAAGAGAGAGACAGGTTAACCAGAGACTAACTTTTATTGTGCATTTTTATGCAACAGAACAAATGGAACTGGAGGTATGTTGTAATAAAACCAATATTCAAATAAGAATTAACACCTGAAATAGTAAACTTTAGGTAACAAATGTCTTTATAATTAAAAAATATTGACTGTTTAAAAAATCTCTAAGATTTTATATTCTTTAAAAGAAATGTGTGTTGCCACATAGAAAACAATTCACACATCCTATAGAAATTATCACAAAAACCGTACTAATCTATATTACACTATGCACTTTTTTTTTTGTACAGTATCTGGTAAAGGTCTATCCCTAACCTGTACTTACTCTACACAGTACAATCATCATTAGAAAGTATTCATAGAATTAACTACACCATAACAATAAAAATATCAGGATTAATGGTTTTTTAATCACAGTTTCTCCACAAATATTTGTCATAGAAAATATAGCGAAGGCATGTTGGCACAGATGGGCGTGCAGTACTGCTACACAAAGTTTGAGAGAAGGCAGATACATAAATGACAGTAAGATTAAAGAGTATGGAAGGGTAAGACAAGAATCTCTATTCTCCTGGGACTTTCTGGAGTGACATGATAGATAGCAGTTTCCTTCTGTTGCAAGCCTGCTGTCTACATCCAGAGCTGGGAAGGGATGTGCTGACTTTCAAAGCACACTGCTTAAATACAGATATCTCGCTGTGCAAGGGCTTACGTGCTATCTATTATTTCAGGTCCCATCCTATTATGTCTAACCTCTTGCGGATATTTAGACACTTCTATGTGTATGAATTTATAATGCCTTACGAACAAGTTAATTGGAATAAGCTGTTGTGAAAGGTTTGGGTTTTTTGTTTAAATGAAATGGATGGGTCAAGAGCCAAGTGTCCACGACGGCAATTAAAACCAAAGGAAAGTTGTCATACTTTGTTATTTCAAACCCAAACTTGAACAAAAAAAGGATGAGCTGGTGTCTGCTAATGCCTAGCTGTGACTATGATTCATGTCACTGGCCAGTGCACACAAGCAACTGAGAGCAAAATTTTATCTGTAAAGAAAACCTGCAAAGCCATCCCTTGTGCCAAAGTGGCTTTCAGGATGAAACTATACATTTGGTTATTTTGCACAGTATGAGAGTAGAGGATTGTGAGAGGTTCCAGGATGCTGGCTACACATTTTATGCTAAAAATAAAGCTAGGCTTACTAGTTACGTCAGCATATCTTTAGGTTATTAAGTGAGAGAGGTCTGTCCAGCCCAGTAATTCTGTGACTGTTAAAAATGAAACATTTGTATTTTTAATCTCATACGATTAAACATTTGAAAGGAAACCATCACAATGTTTACAAAAATACAGCATGATACATATCGCTGTGGACAAATTTACAGTAGAATGTTGACTCACACGTTCTGACATGTTTTACCAAGTAGTTCTGGCAAGTGTCACCACATTAAACATAGACCAGCAAGACTTACACCATCGGAGCAATGTAACATCTTCTATTACAGTTCTTTTAAAAAAAGTGTAAGTTCAACACTGAAAAGCTACTACAGGATATCTGTACCATGACATTTCTATACACTGACTCTCTCCTCCAGGGGCCATCATGCACTGCTGACTGCTCAAAGAAAGTCACCCCCTGCCTGTAGTGAGGGATGCTGTCCCAAACCCCTTGGCCTGGTGAGGTCATGACTAAACTGCTCATTCATTTTTAGAAAATAAATGAGTTATTCTGAGGCAGGCACGTGCCTTTCAACCCCCTTTTTAAAATCACCAAAAATAGAACGAATTGAGAGGTATTAGACATTTAAGGGCCTAAAGCATATCCTGGTTGAGCAAGGTCCTGTTTACAGTGGAGCCCGTGTCCCAAGATGCCCTGCAGGCCCCCTATGAGAGAGTGGTCACAACCACAGGCAAAGAAGAGGCAGGGGTCAGGAAGAAACTGCTATATGGGTGAGCTGACCTTTGAGAGACTGCCTCTGTCCTCTGTCCTCCATCCATGGTCAGGCTGCTGGAGCTAGAGGAGCGCTGCCCTTCCTGGTCTTTGAGGAAGAGGCTGGGTGCCTCTTGCCCTGCCCAGCACATGGGGAGAAGATGAGGAAGGAGAGGAGAAGGGTAAAAGGAACAATCAGTAGCTTCTCTCGTGGCTTGCACAAGGCAGTTAGGAAAGCTGGGGAGTATGAGATATGTGTTCAGGAGAGTCACCGCTGATGAGGTAGCACTAAGGATGGTCAAAAACTTTCTTTCCAAAAACCAGTTCTCTGTACCTGCCAGTGGGGAAATGTTGCCTTAGGGAGGGCTGGTTCAGGCCAGGAAGGATGCCAGTGCTGGCCTGAAAGACTGGACAAGGGTAAAGAGATGGAACACGTGGAAAGGGTTTTATTTCTTTGGCATTGTGTATTTCTGGAGTGCATCAATTCGGAGGGACAGGCGACTCCTAAGCCTTTAAAATTTAAGTTTTTCAGTGGACTGATTTCTATTTTATTTTAAAGTCAGTAGCTGCTTCCAACGTTGTGCACCACCATGAATTCTGCTCTAGCACGGTTATTTTTGTAACAGCTTGCTTAATCTGGACCTCGTGTTTACTTACAACAGAAGTTTAAACTAGGTTGGTCTTACCCAACCCTTCCCTGACCACATTGCTGAGCATCTGACTCTTAGACCAGCTCATTGCCTCATCTATTTCAAGGAAAGGATATAAAACACAAATGAAAGCAAAACCAAGAAAAGGCAATTTAAAGCCTCTGGAGCTACATAATACATCTGCAGAATAGGAACAGACAAAGCAAAACCTGTCTTCTGAAATGGCAATTTGGTTTTAGCAATCTTATTTTAATGAAAACTGTCATGATCAACTCTAATCCCCTAGAAATCTAGATAAATATAGCGTCTATCCGATATACAAAGCAATTTTTATCTATTGGAAGTACCTGTTATTCTTCTGGGTCTTTGAAGGACTCTGCTGTTGACAAACACTGCTGTTTTACCTGGGAAGCCTAATTTCCTGGCAGAGCTGGCTAAAGGAAGTCCCTGAATTTTCCATCTCGTGCAGTATTTTAAGGTAGTATTTATAATTATGGTATTTTCTGTTAGGAAATGGAGACCATTTCTTTTTTTTTATTATAAGAGTGCAGACTTGTTTTGGGAAAGCAAATTGTACCCAGGCTCTTCTGGGTCCAGACCTGGGCTTATTATCAATAGGCAGATGAGACAGTAACTGCTGTTTCTTTTGATATCTTTATAGTTTTTAAATGACCTCTCCTCTAGAACTAGATGAAATGAACTGCAATTTCCTTTTGAGGGTGCTATGAAGGATTTGGAAATAACAGGCACTGAGAAGTCCCATACAGCAGGTCTTGACATTGATTTCTTTCTGTTAACTGGGACACGTTAGGATGGAGAAGATGAAATGTATGCAGTATGTGTTCAAACATGCTTTGGACTATTAAATGACAGCGGGGTAAGTATGTTTAACAAATAGTCTCTCCTAAATTAAGTGGCTGCTACTGTTGTAGGAGGTTCTTCTCACTGCCATCAATCACCAGATCCATCTTGCATACCTCTATTGAAGACTTCATCCTGCGACCCTGGATGGTCAGTCCCTTCATAATATGAGTTCCCATTGTGAAGGAAAGTCCCCACGGCACGCCCTTGACGAGCATGTCCCACTGCGTCACTGAATACCTTGTTTATTTGCTCTTCGGATGGCATCCACCAGTCCGGGTTGGAAGTACAGTGCATCCTAATGAACTCTGCAGGAAAACATGCAAGGATAAAAAACAACTTGTCTTTGCAGCACCCGTTATTGGCCAGTTTTTGGAAGCTCATGGGAGGTAAGAAAGGGGGCATTACTGCTCTACTTAAGTAGAAGTAAAGCCTTATGGGGGATGCCATGACAATGCCACTTGGACCTATGTTATTTTTGTACAAGTGTGTTTCTCCACATGCAGTATGTGTTGTTATATGTGAGCTAATTATGAGACACATGGGAGCTGGAGATTAAATCCCTTCTTGCAGGAATAAAAAGAATAATTTGATGTGACAGCTGTGATTCAGTGTGTGCAATACATGTGAAAGCTAATATGAACTGGGATGTGTTTCATTTGAAACCTGTTGTATATCTGTATCCAAGGTGATTACTCTGGTGGATCTGTATGATCTCCCTCTGCTGGCTGCTTCAACATCTGCGGGCTACAGTAGCCCACAACCTGCTTGAGAATGTCACTACCGTTATTTCATTTGGTATGTCTGTTTGGAATGTCTTTCATTTCAAGTCCTTCTCTTTCCATCTTCCTGAATCTGACACCTATTTTTCAGAGAGTAAATTGGCCTTAGAAATAGCTAAATGAGATGAAAGGGCTAATTTGGGGAGCCTTGCAATAGTTTTCAATGCAGGAGAAAATGAATTGTACTGCATGTAATTTGGCTATTTAAGTTGCTGCTGCTTCCACATACAGCTATTTTTATGTGATGATTACATTTTTCATAATTTATTTTTCAGATTCTTTGACATGCAATATGCTAAACTTGCAGAAGGCGCCTTACCAATTCTGGAGTCATAACTGCTAGGCATAGCTCAAATAGGTGTATTTGGACTTTGAAACATCCAAATACAATTTTAAATGTGAGGGTGCCTTATTAGATATATTAGATACACTGTACCTCATATGGAAACTGAGCTCCTTATTTATTCTGTAACATAGTTATTCCCTCATGTGGTATTGTGTGTCCCAGGATATTTTTAAATTCTATTTTCTTCTGTTGACAAGCCAACAGCACAATAAATGGCATAAGGTAACCTCATTACTGTCACCACATCTTGAGACCAGAGAATGCTGTGCTTTCACATGAGTTCCTGTGCCTGCAAGGTATCTCATCTGTTGGACAATTAGGATATGATTTTTTGCATAGCTCCTTCAGCAGTGTGTCTGCAAGTGATAGCTATCTCAGTTTTAAGTTCATTTCCCTGCAAATCCACACAGGCAATAGTAATTCCTACCTAGTTACATTCACATGGGGCTCCACCGACTGGTGTTTTTCTCAGGAAAATGGTAACCACGTAAAGGAGTAATGCTGTAATTTAAGTATGCCAGACTGTTTTAAAGCTGGTTCCAGACATCAGTCAGTTGTGGGAATATATTAAAAATGTTTATATGTGTTTAAACTACTCTAAGTGCAGAGAGAGAAACAGTTTGTACTGCATAAGGCATAATTGGACGTGCTGAGAATTACAAGTCAGACACTTGTTACCTTGGAGCAAATGGGTAAGAGCCAGTAGCCAGCTCTTGGCACCAGAGAAAGTTGTGTTCCCACCCACGCGTGAAAGCCCAAAGGGAGAGAGCTGTCTACTCTGCTTTCTTAACTGGTCCTTAGGTACTGAAAGTTTTGGCTTTCTCTTCAAGCATCTGCAAAGTAAGGGAATTGGCCCTTTTCTTTCTCCCAAGGAGTGTTCCACATGTTCTGTATGTCTAGGACCCAGAAAGGAGAGTAGCCATAAGCAAATGTCCATCTACAGGTCGATTTACTGTTAGTCTTGGTGGGAGGCAGGGGGAAGAAGGAGGAAAAAAAGGGTTGTGCATAAATTCTTAGGTGAAATTTACAGTCATTTAGTAAATGGTCAATGCATTTGTATTTAGCCTTCATTATCCAAGAGAACCTTGGGGACCCTGAATCTCGTTCCACACCTCTGTGTGTTACGGTGTGCAATGGACTTGCCCTTGTATTAAGCTCTGATAAAATACAAGGTCTGGTAGAGTATCATGTAACGGGTTAACAGGTTCCTTTGTAGTAAAAAAGAGCCTCTTTGACTAATTTGGCTGTATGTAAAATCTGAGTTCATCACCTGGTTACATCAATGTAGCCCACCTACAAGTCTTATCAACTTTGCCTTGCTGGAGTCTTCTACCCTAAATAGGAAGAGGCTCCGTCTGATGTATATAACCACTCCAGCTGGATGACTAACGATGTTTTTATCATTGACTGATCAAACTTCAGCTTTTTACACTGCAGTGATTAGTAAAACATTCTTGAAGTCAGTTTAACCAAAATTTCATGTATGTGCTCACAAAATATTAAATACATTAAAGAAACACTAAGCATATGCATTCATAAAATGCAGATACTGATACTACAAACATGTTTTAAATTGTGCTTTAAAAAGGCCTGTTTCATATGTTTCGTTTAAAAAGCCCAGTACCAGGGCTTTTTTTTTTTTAAAAAATTGAACAATTTTAGGAAGCCACAGAATGAACTGCCACAACAGGTAATTCTTCTCAATCTGAACCCTTTCTCTATATTGTCCAATATCCTCACTCTCTGATGTTGTAAAATGCTTGTAAAATTCCCCCACCTTTTCAAGCTAAACATGAGACAAACTTGTTTCCTAATTTTTTCAGTCAACTGCGCATCAATACTCCAAAAAAGAAGTTAAATCCTTGACAATGTATTTGTATACACTCTGTATGTAATAAACCTGTAGATAGTCTTGGCTCTACAAAATGTTTAAACCTATTCTGAAACTTGGTTAGCTTTTAACTCCAATGATGAACTGTGGCCTATGCTTACAGTGCATCAGGCTATCCTTTGGTCCATTTTGCTGTATATCTCTGTTAAAGAATGCCCTGTTGGTTTACTGTAAAAGAGTGTAATCGGGATTGTCTGATTTTCCTTCTCTGCTGTTTCAAGTGTATCAGTATTGTGTGCCCTCATATTTGTTTCCTCTCTCAAATAAGCAGCCCCATTTTTTCCCATTAAGCCCAACACATATATAATACATACATACATATGTATGTATGTATATAAAAAAAAAAGTGGAGGGTTTCTGGCTGCTTGTCACCTGCCTGTGAAACCCCTTCTAGCTCTGCAACTGTCAGCCCAATGCTTCTACTATAAGCCAGAGCCAATGTGGTGAAATGAGATCACATATGGTGGACACTGAGCGAAAAGATGCAGTACCTCTGAGACATGTTACTTTTACTGGATCCAGAGGACGTCTTTCAGGACCTGTCTCTCCTGACTGCACTGACCTTTTCCTTTTTCCAAGGCCGCATGAGTACTTAAGCTCATCGGTTGTGAAAACAAATCTGATGAGATAGCGAAGGAGCCGTCGTCCATCTTTCTTGGAAGAATTTACAGCCTCATCCCACTGTTTACTAGTGATGTAGACAGGGTAGTTGTTCAGCAACTGCTTGCTCCCCTGAAAAAGTGAAATATTTCCGTTGCTTATTTTACAAGACAAGTAAAGATGTCAGTTGCAATAAAAAATATGACGCGATACTGACAGTAAAACACATCCTGAAGTGAACATGTAATTGCTTTTACTGAGATGGGTACTTTTAAGATTAAGTTTCCATTTTCTAGAACCCAAATCTGGTAAGGTACAAGGAATACACTTTGAGAGGTAGCTATTGATAATTTCCACTTTAACAAGCAGGTTAAAAAGAGTTAAGAATCAGTGACTGGGTATCTATTTAGATATAAACTTCCTTCTTAATCTGTTAAATGCATAAAAAGGGTCTTTGAAGAGTGTGATCAAATGGATCACTACATTGCAGCTGACAGTTTACTTCAGAAGTGACTCTTTTAGTCTATTTTTATAATAAATTTATTACTTCTGTAGAACACACCTGAAACTTGACGGCAGTTATGTTGCTGTGAAAAATGTAAAGAAAATAAATAAAGGAACTATGAAAACTAAATGCTTCATTATTATTAATGAATGCTGTATTAACTCAAATTACAGCTTTACAGAAATGCCACCATGTCAGCTGGAAAGAAATTTTGCTTTTAACCTTGATAATTTGTGTGCTTCAATATTCCAAAATTAAATGAATGCTGTACGACTAATTATGGGGATTTCTGTAATCCACACACATTTATAAGCCCTCTTTAGTCGATAGTACCTAAATTGTATTTAATTCTTCTTGCCCATAAAATGCTATTTTAGCATTACCCAATTAACATATGATGGTACTGTTAATATACTTGAAATAAATGAAGTACACCCCCTGCCCCCATCCTCTTGGAGACTCATTAACTTTCACAGCTCCACCTCTTTATTAAAACACATAAATCTGGAAGCCCAATTAGTAAAATCTTCTTATAGCCCCCATCTTAGACAGGAACTCACACTGAACTACAGAAACACGGATCTGATGCTCAACAGAGGCAATCAGCCACATGCTGTACTTGTGTGCAACTGCTGCAAAGTTCCCCTCATTGCTACTAGATCTTTGATACCTGAAAACTATTTTAAGGACTACCCTTGCCTCCTTTCATGTATTTATTACAGCATCCTGGGAGACAGCTCTAGAGCATCTTTGAAGCTTTTCCTCAGGTATTTGCTTTTAACTTTTTTGCAAGTTTGCTAAATATATGAAAGGTAGAATTTAGTGAAGGCCATGATGAGAAGGTGATTACAGAATCTGTAAGATTTAGGGTACCACAACCTGCTGGGGTTTAGTGTCACTGGGAGCTGAGCCTATGTGACTGTCTGCTACTTGTTCAGCTCAGTGCAAGCTGCTGGCAAAGATGGCTACAATCAAATCCAAAACTCTGCAAAGGAAGCCAAAATATAAAGGAAGACATGGGCTTTGTCTGTCAGAGGGACCCCTCCCCACCCCCAAAACATCTCAACTCTCCATTCCCCCTGTAGCTTGTAAATCCAAGTTTGTCATCCCTAAGAAAAAGACCTTTCAACTATAGTCTAATTCTGGTATCATTTGAGACTTTTTCTTTTCACTTGACTTAACTCTTCCCACCACTGCAAAAGGGCCAGGGTCAAGTCCTTCCCTCCATTCATGATTCAAGAAGCTGCTTTAATTTCTGCCAGGTACACACACCCCTGGGAAGCCAGTAATACATCTGAGGAGTTCTGCCATGGAAAGAACATTACCTTCCATTCAGCCCAGCGTCCCATCCTCTCCCAACATGGTGAAGAGGCTGGGGAAGGAAGACGAGCAGGGGGACAGCATGGAAAATTCTTTGGGACTACTGCATGCTTACGCTGAAGAAACCGTGACCACTCCATCTCAGGGAAAGCTGACACTAGCATTTCCTTGGCTTGTTCTGCCACAGGACCATCTGCTTCCCATGTTGCTGCTTATTTCTTCAGCAACTAGCTCCGCATCTCTTTTATATAAAGCAAAATATTTTCCTACCTTAGATTTCTGAAACCTATTTGTCTTTTTTTATTAAAAACATTGTAATGAACCAAGGACCTTTTTTGTTGATACCAGCACAAGTACAAGCTACAGCTAGCGCTGTAGGTACTGCCTTGCTTTTAAGCTCTGGCAGGCAGAAGCAATGCAATGCAAGCCCATAATGGCACAGTGTAAGTCTCCAGGCTTGCTCGTGTCTGTTAGGGTTGGATGCTCATATACGGCTTTGCTAAGTAAGAAGCTATCCTAGAAGCTGCCTCTGTGTTTAAATGTATGGCACTGATAGAAATAGGGTGCAGAAAGGCCCAACATCTAAATTTCATGAGAGCTCACATTACTATTAAGTGAGAAGGTAATAAATTCTGTGTAATCTCCTCAGCCCCAATTTTATTACACTTCTCTCTTATTCCCACTGAAATTTAGGGAATTTTTCCTCATTCTTCTCCAAAGGCATGATATAGTGTTACGTTACTCTGTGAAACAATTACTAGGTTCCTGCTACAGATACACTTTCATTACTTCCTCTGAAAGTAAAGCACTTCTGGGCAAAAGATTCTCAGTAAATATATGATGCAGTTTGGTGTGTCCAGCAGTCATTAAACTAAAACAAACAGAAAACCTTCCAGAAATGAAATAAGCAGACCCTGAAGGAAGAACCAAGGTACAAATGCGTTCATGCTTGTATTTGTACACGATTAAGCTTATGAATAAAAGATTAGCATCTATGTGTTTAATTGAATAAAGAATTCTGCCACATCATAAGAAGCTATTCCATGTGGGATGTTAGAAAACAGCCTCGGTTTTCACAGTGCTTGAAAATTTTAGTTATGCAAAAAAACATTAAATAAAGGAAAATGAATCCCTGAAATACATTTGAGTGATAACAGCTAATGATATATATGTATATGCATAGGTATAGGTATATGTATGTATCAATTTGCACAGCATAAAACTGAATGCAGGAGCAAAGTGATGCACACCCTGAACTGCTGCAAAGCATCTTCAGTGAAGTTGGACTACGTGAGGCTTGCATACGTATCATTTATGTGCAAAGGGAGGTCAGACTAGACGTAAGCATTCCCTCTGATTTTGTTTGTGTAAATAATGGGTAGTGACATGCATACCCTACATATGTGAAATCATGCATAGCAAGAGCCTCAAATGCAGACAGTCTAAACTAGAAAAGTCTCAACAAAACCACTTCATTTGAGGCATTTTTACAAGCCTGGATAGAAACACAGTCGAGCAAAATTAATGTGAGCTACACCAGAGCTGATAGATATATCTACCTTCTAGAGAAGGGGAGGACTTAAATTTCCTGCTTTTTCACTGCAGCCCTTTTAAACAGATAATAATTGCAAAAATCCCCAAACTCCATTATCAAATATAAAATCGTCAACACTCAACGTTTAGTTTGGGTTGCTTTCTGAAAAGCAAGAGCACTCTAAAAACTTGCTGAGGTCTGTATTCGCCTCTGCCTGCAAAATGAAGGAAACATGTATCTTAGCATTAACCGTCTTAGGGCTGCATCAGAGCTATACTAACTGTATACACATGCATGTCTGTGTCCATACACACTACATACTGATACCCACCATGCATGGGCTGCAGCCCCCATGCACTGGCAATCCCTGCATGCAGCCACTGCAGTTTTCACTGCAGTTTCACTGCCACTCAGCTGCAGTTTTCACCAGGCTAGCACCAGCCTAAATTCTACCCACAAAAGTGAGTCTCTGAGGAAAGGCGAGAGAAAAATTACCCAAAGCAAGGCAAGTGCAGCTGGTGCCAATGGAGGAAGTTATGTGCTGTCAGTGAAGTCATCCTACATTATGCTAGAGATGAGTCTCCTCCATTTGGGGATTACTGTACCTAAGAATGACAGTTTAATAATAGATTTCACATATTTTTACTACCAAATATATTCTTCCAGCACCTACTGATTTATTTGCCTACATGTTTTCAATGAATTGTCAAACATAGATACGTAGTTTGTCTTCACTGCTTACTACCTCAGTCGGATGGTCTGTTGGCTGTGGTACCATAAGTTGGTTGTGATGCTGAAGTACAGTCTTCAAATAATCTAAAACAGTCTGGCAGGGCACTGCGTGAAAAAAAATTGCAATTACTGTATATTAGCTATCTTGCACAAAATTGAACAACAATATTAAATCAAACAGTATTCTTCAGGATCTGTTTCGTATGTCTGTGAGATTTATTTCTGACAGGAAATACTCTTCATTTGGATTTGTGCAGACATTTCATTCAATAAATATACAATAGCTGTTGTACTGCCTATGTTGAAATCTCCGACATTGCTTTTATTTTCTGACCACTACTTTTCAAAGGTTTTTTTTCCTAGTTTGAAATTATAATTATACAAATACAAATTAGGTCAGCAGTAATAAGGAAAAAACCTGTAAGTACTGTAAACAGCCCAACCATACAAAGGAGAAACCATTTCTTGGACCTAAATCATGCACTGATTAACATGTAAATACACTCAAGTGTTTTTGAAACTACAGTCTCATTAACTATACTGAACAGATTTAATGATTCATATACTTTAATTTCTCTTCCCTCCCTCCTCCCAAATTTGTTATAGAAGTAGGTGTTAGGCAAATTGCCTTATTTCCCTTTCCCTCATCCTCCCCCCTTTCTATTCCCATCACTCTCATCCATTTCAGTAGTGGTACCAACATCCTATTCCCTTCTGCTGAGGTGATAGGTTAATTAGGGATGATTCAATTACAGGTCTCTCTTAAGCAGATGCTGCCACATCCCTGATTAACTCTGGAGTATTTTTGAGATACAGTGCTTTTCCTCTGAGCCTGAAATACCATAGAAGAATTAAACAGATATTAACCCAACATTAAAACTGACTAATGCAAGAGTAAATTAAGCATAATTTTTAAGGTACCTTACCACTCTCACATTTCGTATGGGTTGTTTGTGTAAAATATTCAGAGATAATCATAGCTTCAGCTAAAAATCCAGAAAAAATATTTCAGTGTTCTATTTTTTAAATATTATTTCTTGGCATTCAGCCTTTACACCTGGAAAAATGCAGTGTTTTGGGCTTTGTCATAAGCTGGCAATCTGAAAATAAGCACTGAAATCCCTAAGAACATCTCAAGGTAGGATATACAGGTATTTTGCACTCCTCCCTGGGCATTCACACTGTGCAGCAACTATGCCCCTCTGCAGGCAGACAGTGCGAAACACCTCTACTTTGTGCAAAACAGACTCTTTAAGCTAAGTGGTGTTACATCCAGCAGTCTGCACACAGAAGTCATGTAACGTGCCTGGTGTGAATAATAAATTCCTGTGTCATTTCACTCAGTGCTGACTTCTCCATGAAGACATCAGTGTATTTACTCCTGTTTCACTTGACAACATCACACTTTGCCATAGGAGGTTATGTGTTAGGCTAAAGTTAGCATTTCAAGTGATTTGTATTCGTTTTATTTCTCCAGTGACTTCACTCCTTATTGCTAGACCAGAGCTGCTACACAGTGACACTGCCATAGGAACAGAAAAGCCTTGATGCATTTCTTTTTGGTAGGAAAAATGCACTTTTAAGTCTCACTGGATGGTTTTGGAAAATGTTTCAATTCTGAAATAGTCAGAAGGACAGTCAAGCTTAATAGCCCCACCAACATGTTCTGTGGCTTTCCTATAATGACAGCTGTGTATTTAGCATATAGCAGCAATCAAAAAAATTTAATACAAGTTCTTATGTGGAATAAAGGAGAAAAATAATCACAGGTAACATTTTAGCGCACTGGATATTTGTAAGAAGGTGTGGCAAAAAAGAATTTGGCTTTTTCTCTAGAGAGTTAACAAGATCATAACCCTGAGAGCTGAAACTCTGCATGCTTAGGCACATATCCACTATCACTGACATCACCAACAAGGATCTGTGCCTATCGTAACCAACAGGAAAGATGCTAATGTCAGAATAACACTTGCTTGTTATGATTCAGTAGAAAGCCTGCGGGGAGGCAGTAATTTTCCTGCCCATTAGGAAGGAGCCTTAGCAGGAGGGGGAATGCTGGTCTTGCTAAGATGTTAAGCAGGACATGTGTAAGATGTGGCAGGTCTTTGTTGTTCACTGATTCAAGTTTTAAGACTTCTTACTCTAGCCATCTGCATGTTGTAACAAGTGCTTCTTCGGCATAGCTTGTCACAGCTCTCTCTGTGGAGTATCCTAATTTCTAATAAATAGTTGAACAGTGTGATAGCCACCAACTGTGCCACTGACAAAAGCCAGGCTGTGGTCTCTCAGTCTGACCTGCCACATAGCACAGCAACTCCCCAGGCTAAATTTTCTTTGCACCAGACAGCATCAGCAGGTAAACCCACTCTATCTCACAACCTGGGCTGGAATCGGCACCTCTTCATCATTTCTGAAACAGGCTGGTAATTCTGGTGCTGCCTACCAAAGCCCCTTAATTGTCCCAACTCTGGAACGGAGTTGCGGCAGACAGCTGAGGTTGCAGTCCCACCTGAAGCCACTGTTGAATGGCTGCTAAAACCTGGAGTTACAGTGGAAAAATATTTCTATGTGCTTACCATCATCATCATATTGGTGTGACTGCATCATTTAACTCTTCACAGAACAGAAATACTCAATGAGTAGTTCCATATTTTTGTCAAATCCTACTATTTCCATCTGATAATGCTTCAACACTGTTACTAGGACACCATATTTTTCCATTCATCTGCCAGGGAAAGAATGCTCCTCAACAGAATGTTTTAATTTTCTGATGATCCTAACCTCTGCTTCTTACTTCAACAATTTCCCCTCTATTCCATTTGTTATGTTTCTAACCGTTCCTTTGCTTTCCTTCTAAGCTGGTTGATTTTTTAACCACCATGAAACTTTTTCTCCTAGACAGTCTTTTGGGGCCTTCAACAACATGTTTTTAATATTTTCCAATTATACCCACTCTTTCTTATCCTTTTTTAAAAAATCTTTGACTACAATAGTTGTCTCCAACTTTTTACAAGGCATCAAGAACATCTCTATTATCTGTTTGGACTGTGGTTTTGCTCATTATGCTATTGGGCTGCAATCAATAGTATTGGCATCTATCAAAACAAGGGTTCTCATTTATCCTCTCCAAAATGTGGTCTCCAGTGTAACACACTCCAGGCTGCTTATATTGCCAAAGCACAGCACTATGAGGAGATACTTGGGTTTGCTGTAAATCAGGTCTATCTATCTCCAACATAAATAAAGGCGTTAACTCCCACCTGTCCCATGGTATCAGGCAGCCCTAGCGAGAAGGGACAGCTCACCACCAGCTCGGCTGTGTGGCTCCTTGCAGTGGCCTCACCCCCATAAGCAGTCAGTACGAAATCTGGTTATTCTGTTCATTAATAAGCTTTCGTGCTCTGTAGCTGACACTGGGTAGTACTCCTGATGGTGGTGTGCACAGCAGACTATGAATCCCTTAGCACTCAGGACCATTCACTTTTGAATAGTCAGCAAGGAGGGGAATTGGGAAGGGTGTACATCTACATCCACCCTGCTCAGACTGGCAGCTGTTAGTTAAGACTGGCTCAGCATTGCAATACCTCCTCCTTTGCTTGACCTTGAGCAATGCTTCACTCTTGAGTTCATTGCAGGGCATTTCTAAATTGATGCTCGACTGTCAAAAAGATGTAACAAATGATAGGGAACCTGCTGACGACTACATGACAGTGTGAATTTCTTATAACATTAATGGAGATGCCTTGTCTGCCTGAGATTTGGACAAGTGTGCAGTATAACATGGCTTGGATTATTTTAGCTCATACACTCATTTATTTCAATAGTCAGCTGAAAGCCAGTGAAAGCTGCATGGATGGGCTGTGAAGACAAGTTGTTGGGGTGCAGTGAGCTGAAAAAAGAGTGAGAGGTAAAGAGAGATGGGGATTAGTAAAGAGGATTTGTAGGGTAGTCAAGACCCTACAAATTTGGATGTTTGTAACTGGACAATAACAAAACTAGCACCCATTTGTAGTGAAAGCAGACAGCAGAAATCAGACGAATCAACACTGCACACAGAAGAGTGTTAAAAGATTGGCTAAACTGATCTACGTGCCTGCCAAAAACAGGAAAGGGAGAAAAAATGATAGCAAACATCCTGATACTTTTAAAATCCCTCTCCGTTGTGTTTTCCAAGAGGAGTGGAAAGCCATTTAACTTCTGTTAATCTGCAGCTGAAAAGCCATTGTATTTCTTTTAATTTTCTTTTGCAAAAATATTTATTCCAGAAAAAAGAAAGAATGTGCCTCTTCCATACGCCCCTGGGATGTGCACCTCTGCCTAAACACAGAAGACATAAAACAAGGTAGCTTTGCAACTCTCATTTAAACGATGCTGACACATTCTCCTGTAGCTTTTATTTTTGTCTGTGCTCCCTCATTTTCCTTCTGCTTAATAGGAGGTACCTCTTCTTGTCCTCCCTTTCAGCCGTGAAGTCTTCAGGACAGGGACCTCTCCTGTAAACCTCTCTAGTTTGTAGTAACTGCTGGTAACTAGCAGGGAAACCCAGGAGCCCCTGGTGAGTGGGGACAGGACTTTGTGTCACTAGAATGACAAATGCTGACCTGAAAAACACAAACCAATGCTGAACCACAGCTCCCCACAGCACTCCACCAGCGCTTGCTCCCCAGAGTAGGCTAGGAAATCTGATCTCAAAAATTCTCACGGGTTTTTACCCAGAAGCATGGAGAAAACAGTTTAATAAAGCCCTGGTCTGCTGCAGTTACATGGTCCAGTAAGTTTTTGTAGTTAGGCTGGTTTAGCAAACTAAGCTGGCACCCCTAAACTGCAAGTAAAGCAATGCTGCAAATTCAAAGGGGTTCTCGTGCCAAACACTGGGTAATCACGCTCAAGACTTTCTCTTCCTGAAGTAACTTCATGCTTTGAAGCTGAACAGCAGAAAAAGGCCAGAGATCAGACCACAACATCCAGAACATCAAGGGAAACCAAAGAAGTGGTTAAATGTGAACATCAAGGGAAAAAAAGAACAGGACATGAAAAAGTGTTCGTCATAACCCTTGATGGATGCTTTATCTTTGCTGCAGCTGTGGTAGGCTCTTTGGAAACGCGATGCTCTAGAAGTATAAAGGAGACAGGATTTGGAGGGAAAAGTTTGTAGGAAAAAGTAATATCTTTTATTAGATCATCCGATATAGTCAGGAAAGAGAGTCAAGCCTTGGGCACACAAAACCTCCTGAAAAACTTGTCTGACTTTTTCAATTACATTGATATTAACTTGACCTGCAAATCCCACTTTGCTTTGGCTACCTCCAGCCACCATGAACGCCATCTCTATCAGTGATCATTTCTCTACATTTGAGGGAGTTTTCCACCCCCATCCTTCTGCTGTTTGCTGGCGTAGTTTTTGCTGCCAGATTAACAAGGTCAGAATAATTACCGTATTTATCACACTCTGTTTCACCTTACTTATTTATACCTTTTCACTACTTTCAGGGTGGTTTGTCCAAAACCATGCAGCAAAGCTGGGAGCACCAAGAGGCAAATCCTCACTCACGACTCTGGCCTTTGCTTTAACCACCTGGAAACATTTTCTCCCTTTTTGGTCAGAAAACTGTTGAGAAAATCATGCTGACAATAGCAAAGGAGAACTTCTTAATATATATTAGATGGTCTAAATCCAGGTATTACATGCAGTTTCACAAATAGGTCTTTAATTTTACTATTGGGAAAGTATCACAGCCCCAGTAATTTTATCCAGAGGAAAGAGACACTTTTCTCCTAGTATAGATGGATTACTTTGCGCTGTTCTTGATAGTCTCAAAACCTTGAAAAGCCAATGACAACTTTGCCAAACTCCTGCCAGGAATTATCTAATCTTTAATTATTTTTCAAAACAAGACAAAATAACACACTGAATTAAAATGTTTCTCTTCAGTTGAACTGGAATCTGAAAATGTTTGCTTAATGTTTTTGCCTAAAATAAGTAAGAACAGGTGAACTGCACAAATTGCAAGAAAATGCATTGCTCCAAAGCCAAAACACTGAAATATGAATGTTTCTTCATTTACTCCGTAGATGAAACAATTCACATTTCACACAAATTTAAGTGTTGTTTCAAACAAATCAACTGGGTATTTTTTGAGAAAAAGCCCAACCAAACAACCAGAACATGCAATATTTCATCCATGTAATAGTTTTTCTCCAGTGATCTGCCAAAGAGTGATGCTACACTATGGACAAAAAGATCCTAAGGACTGGAGGGCTTCTACAGCGACAGGGCAGAGTTCTGAAAACTGAAAAATCTTATTTTCTGTGTCTAAAAGCTATAGGATGATATGTCTTCTGTAATATTAGTGAAAAAAAAAGTCATTGCCTTTATATCTGCTGAGAAAACACTCTTCTTCCTGGTAGTCTCTTTGTAAGCCATGCAAATGGTGCTTTGCAGAGCTAGAGGCAGAGATGTACAGTGGCAACTATTTTTAGATCGCAAAATCTCATGGATTTTAAAAGGGCTTTTGCATATGGAAAGTAAAAAAAAAAAGAAATGCAAAGTATTTCAGGAAGAGGATAAAATGATTCATAGGCGGTTATAGAGCAGAAGGGAGGGGCTGGGGCTTTTATCTTCTGTTGACAGGGCTGCTGGTGAGAACCTCAGTGCCTGCAGGGAAGGCAGGCTGCATGCCTCCCTGCCAGCCTCACTGAGCAGCTCCTGCCCAGCTACCTCAAGGAAGAGAAGGAAAACCACTATGTCAAACAAATGCACTCTTTCAGCAGCTTGACGGGACAGTATGGCAGGCTCCAGGCTCATCCAGCTGCCTCCACAGTTTCAAGTCACAGGAAAATTTCTGGGTGGCTTTTTTGGTAGCAGAAGCTCATGGAGCAGAATCAGCACTGGAGACAAAAATACTGAGACACTACCTTTAGCTAATTTTTGACTAACCTTGCTCAGGGCGTCTGTGGGACTGCCTTTGGACCTCAGACCTCTGCCCTTCTATGTGGCAAAATCTGAGAGTCCTTTCTGTGGCTCTTAATGCTTCCCCAACCACTCGGGCCACTTCAGACCTATCTGTATACGTCGCCCAGACAGCAGCAGATGCATCTGATGATGATTTTATGTTGACTGAAGAAGTCTTAGGTCCTTGCACATTTATTTTGTCTGCTTCCTTTGATACACTATTAACACGGTGTTTCATTACTCCTGGGGGGAGGGTTCATCTCTCTTTTAAAGGGAGATGAAGGAGAAGTGTGATGACCCAGGTAAATACTGGCATCTTAGCTCAGCATTAATCCTAGCAAAATACAGGTAATCGCAAGGGGATTCAATTGACTAAGAACTAAAGAATATGAATATAATTAATGCAGTCAAAATGGTCTTATGGAAAGTGGATCTTGTCAGACTAACCTGATTGTCACTCTTTGATCAGATTATAGACTTGCACGAAAAAGTTGGGCTGAACAGACGTACTATATCTAGATTCCTGAAGGGCATTTAACTTACTACCATGAGTTATCTGATTGCAAAAGCAGCAACACACAACATCAGTAGACTATAGCATATACGGATTAAGAACCTGCTACTGACATCTCAAGTATTTGTCACTGGGACAACCATCATGACCAGATGTTTTTCTACCAAAGCTCGACAGGGACTGGCAGAAGCCTCAATACCATTCAGCATTTGTAACTAGGATCATTAAATTAATTTAAAACCTATAAAAACAAAAAATCTGGATGATACAGAAACTGGTGAACCAGCAAACGCTGGGCAAACAGGGCAGCCAAAGCAATCCGGATCACTTCATACATGAACACAGCCAAATACAAAGTATGTATGACTAGGAAGAAATGTGCACAGAAGGAGAAGCCCAGCTGCACAACCAATAGCCAAATGACCAGGGCAACCATGGAGGGGAACAAAGAAGCTATTCACCTTTGCTCAGGCATATAGGCACATACTGCATGTATTCCAGTGCACGATTTTTAAAGAAATGAGCACCAGGGGAGAAAAGAACTGCAAAGAAGGACTGAATTCACTTGATGAGTTTTAAACAGCTCTGTTTGCTTAGTTTATCTAAGATTGAAATTACGTCAGCTTCAATGTGTAAATACCTTCAAGCAGAAAAAGTACCAAGTCCTATACAGCACTTTATTTAGTGGAGCAAAGCATGACAGTCAGTGGCTAGAAGCTGATTTCACATAGTCAGGCAAAGAATAGGGCACACATTTTCACCAGTGTAATTAATCACTGGAGTCAATAACTGTCGGGGTACAGAGCTGGAGACTCTGCTCATCAAGAGTCTCCAACTCAGGACTGGAGGCCTTCTGAGATACCACCTGAGTCAATTTTAACTTACGCTTTAGCCAAAGCCAAAAAGATTTCTGGGTTCAATATAGGTGATTAAATGAAAGCTGTAGGTCTGATTACAGACCCTAAGTAAATTTTTTGGTCTTACACACCTGAAGCTAGGACTCCACAGGAGTTAAATCCACATGATTTCCTTTGTCACAGTGTTTCCACATGATGCAAGAACCACTACTGAATCCACTGAGAAAGCGTGAGTTACAGTGACTCCAGATTTTGGTAAGGCTGGGGGAAGTATTCTGGATTTTGGCTTTCCTAGTGTTTATACATGTCAGAAGTGCATTGTACACTTAACCTCTTTACTAAATTTCAACTTGATTTCAGTATTATTTGAGGTGTATTTCTGTCTATAAAAGTTTAGAGGTTATGGGGCCTACATACTTTGTTTATATCCAATATCACTCTTCAAGTATCTCGGGGCACCTTAACAGAGAGAAATTTAAAGGGGCCAGAGAAGTTTTTCACAGAGGGGGTTTCTATTAGACAGGGATTTTCTGCCTGCTTTCTCTCTCCCAGAGGCTGCTAGGTATTGATAAACTGAAGAAGTTGTTGCCAAGACATTTTTAAGGTTTATTCGAAGATGAATGGGAGGAGATGAAATTCTACTTCTCACTGAGCTAATAGCAATTTAAAAGATACTGTTCAAGGTAAAATCCAAATCTATATAAGTTAAAAGTACGGATGTAATTTTGAACAGTTTCTTTAAGCAACCAAATATAAGGAGCCCCAAAAGAGAATTAGGATTATAAAATGCAATGTCACCAAAAGAACAAGATAGATAATTAGGTACAAAAGTGTAGGCTTGAAATTACTGTGACCCGATGTTTGGAATTTGGAATTACAATTACATCCCATCCTGAACCCAGCTCACTAGTCTAGAACTGAAGATTCATAATGAGTAACAGCAGATCATTTTCCAGTGGACACAGTTGTAGGAATTTTGGCTGGAGACAAATTCCAGTGTTTGATTACTATGACTGCATCCTTAAAAAATAACCAGACTTAAAAAAAAAACCTATAAATCAAAGTAATTTTATCACTAGTTGACAATATTATATGGCAGGGTATTAGTTACCTGGAATGCTCTCCAATTTTCTACGGAGTTCCTCATTTTCTTGTTGCAATGAAATTACCTCCTGCTCTAGCTCTTGACACCGAGGGCAGTAACCTTCTTCCTCTTCCTCCTCTTCCTCCTCTGGAAGTGTAGAAGATGATGGGTGACCATGAGATTCAGATGTTGCTGGAGATGTCCATCCACCTAAAGTGTGTACTGGAGAGGTTGAAAGTGGATCCACATCTGCCAAATGGCTAAAATCATTTACTGATGAGGTGTTCTGAGAAGGGAAGCTCCCAGAAAGCAAATAGTTCTGCAGAGAATCAGTAAAAACTCTCAGAAAGGCTGAGGTTTGCTGTTTCTTTTGCATATACTGCATCTCTATGTCTAAAATGTCTGATGTCTGACTATGGACCATTTTCCCAAGCTGACATTGCTCTTGTCTTTCACTATAATTTGGGTTTTCCTGCTTTATACAAGAAATCATGGACTGAGAGTGATTGTTGTCCAGTAGTTTTCCACCACAATTTAAGAGACTTAAAACCCGGCTGCATTGTTGGGCAAAGGCATCCAGAATCATTCGACTCTCTGCAACAAAAGAAAAGATGAATCACAGAAACCTAACGCAAAAGGTTATGCCAGGCAGTAGCAGCTAGATGAACGTACACAACTGTTTACAGTAGCATGCATTTTATTTCTGAACACATTAAAATTATGGCTTCTGCTTTAATACTTCTGCAACACTGTGATTTAAAACAATCCTGACTTTGCTTCTATTTTGAGAGTGCCCTTGTGCCCTTGCTGTTAATCAGAAATGCATTGTGATGATAGTCACTGCTTACTGCCATCTTCTTTCTGAGGGATTAAGACAGGAGAATGGGGAAGAAAATACAATTTCCATGCAATTTTCTACAATTAAAAGTTCACGTAAGTACTTGAAGCCTATTTCAAGCTGCTGGCAGGCACTGCCTGTACATGTTTGCAGGACTTTGCACTACACCTTCATCCTATGCCCTGCTCCTCTCCAACAAGGTTTCCAAGCTCTGTTTTTATTCTGTCTCATCTTTGCGGCACTTGCTTGACACTGGGACACTTCACATGACCTGCCCCCAATTCTATGGAGTTTGCTTCTGTTTCTTTTGCTTTAGTTTCCAGATATGTCCAAGAACAGCTCAAGAGCAGTAAGCACAAAACTACTTTCTTCCCTCTTCTTCCACCGAGGAAAGACATCAAATGTACAACATTAAGCTCCTCTGGACAGGAGAGGAATTTCTTCTGTCCTACTGACCTCCTGTGAGTTTGGGGGCAGGCCAGTATCACAGAGTTCTTGAAGCTGCTCTGGACATAATCAGGAAACTCTATATGGGGCTGTGCAGCAGTTTCCAGAGGCAGCAGCACGGCTGTGTGAGTAGGATAAGAATGCCATGCTGCACCTCGTCAGCCCTGCCTCCAATGACAGGAGCTGTCATGTCTCAGGGAGCAAAAGCAGCTACAAGTTAAACCTGCGCAGTTCATTTCTGCACTATGTATATAGCTCAAGCTGCTGAAACAGTTCTTGGACCCAGATGACAAATTACCAAGACATTGATGATATGACCTGTTAGGTTCCCCAATAAAAATAATACTTAAAAAAAGTTTTTAGCCTATTCACAGCTGAGTTCCTTTAGGTGTCTGCAAAGATGCAACTAACATTTTGCATGAGATTTAAAAAAAAAAAAAAAAAAGCCTGGTAGATTTCAGTGCTGCCAATTTTGGAGAGCTCTTCTCAGGCAGGCTTGACTTTTAGAAAGTGACAAACGCATTTACTCTTCAAAAGGCAACCTGCTACAGATGCATGAGACTAAGCACCCCAGACCTTGATTTATGTTAACTTCATCATTAGAGATGAAAACATAACCTCATCACACTGATAATACGTAAAGAACAGAAATGTCCAGAAACCAGGCCTTTCAGAGGCGGCACTTCTCATGGCACCTCTCCATGATCCAGCAGATACACCTTCTGGTGGAAAACCTACTTCGAACTGACGTTAGTACAGCTGTCCTGAAGAATATTTGAAGCGACACTATTTTGCATTTTTACCATCCTCCAGATCTCTGCAGAGGGCAGGGCTGAAGCTGCATACAAATGCTTTCAGTCTTGAACACAGCCCAAGAAGACCTCCCCAGTACAAAACCCGAGGATGTGATCTCCCAAGGACTTAACCATAAGAACAACAATGGTAAGATGGACAAAGTAAGCACAGGCACAGTGCTGGGCTATGAGGCTGCTCAGGGCCAAGCAAAGAGAGCCCACTGGCATGTGAAAGATTGGGGTGACCCTAAGACCACTTGAAGCATCCTCACTATCAGCCTCCTGTGCTGACTACTCCTACCACACCCTTGTAGACAGGCTCAGATGAACCAGGGCAGATTTCTCCAACAAATCTTTGATCCTAAATGTTAAGCAATGCCCTATTTCCACACCACAAACTCAAAAGGGCAGAAACGCACAGGCACTGCTGTCCCCTCTGCAAGTGGGTGCTGGTGAAGTGTCAGCTGCTCTGTGTCCTCCATACCTGCTGTCCTTCCTTCCCTTTTACTGCATTAACCTAAGGCCAGCTTAGGGAAAGTTTTTAACCCTTACAATACAAGGACAAAATAAAACAGCACAATGGACATAATAAAATACAAGAATGGAACCCTGGTTAACACTGCAGTTTTCTAGCTGGAACCTACTGATAAACCAAAAGAAAATCAAGGAACTCGAGCACCACTAACAACCTCAAGTTGTGCTTTCTATGCCTTATTTCTTTACCCCCACATTTTCCCTTTAAAATTGTTACATGTTGATATTGATTTGAACTTTGCAATCCTGCTACAGAGCAGGTTTTTCATTCATTTTAATCCTATAATCTGATTCCAGACCTGAAGTCGTATTTACTGTTCATATTTTAATCATTATGATCCCTGTTGACAAAACAGTTACTCATTCCTTACATACCCTTGTTGCAAGAGGACAAAATATGAATGAAACAACTGAAAAGGGATTTTATCGGTATAAGAAATGTTATTCTAATATTACGGTTTGTCCTAAAATTCTGCAAAAAGTAACCTGACATTTCAAATACCAGTTTTGAAGAATGCTATAATACACAGTAACATCAGCAAAGATAAAATTATTAGTTTTGTTGTAAAATTGAATGCATTAGGCACATTCACTGAGATAATGGCTTAAAATGCAACTGAAATTTTATACAGAAATGACAGTATTGATTTAATCTTCAGTTCACTATCAAATCTACTACAAAGACACAGTAACAGCAATTATTGTTTTTCTCTTAACTTTAACCCATATTCAAAGACATAAAAATGAAAGTCATGACAAGGCAGGGCTATTTTTAAACGCTAGCACAAAGATTCACAAATGCTTTTTTTGTAGGTATCACTGGGCAGCAATAGTGAGGGATGTTCTCAGCACACATTTTGCAAACATCTGGCTCTGTGCTGAAGCAGGAACCACTTTGAAGTGACTTTGACACCAGTAACAATACTCGTACCCACAGTCCGAACAACCCCAAATCAGAATAATAACTATGGTTATTTCTTGTGATGGATCAGAAATAGAAACAAATGCTGCAAATTTAGCATATATCGTAGAAACTGGGACTGCAGCTTTTACAGACTGTCTGTAATTGGAAATGCAAGCACTGTACAATGCCTAATCACTAAGAAATGACAAAAAGTTGGCTTTATGTGATTACTACTGAATAATCACTGACATATGATTCTTAATTGATTTAATGTAATGTATATATTTTGTAGGAAAGGATGATCCCATCAAAATGACTGCATGTCGTGGTTTAAGCCCAGCTGGTAACTCAGAACCACACAGCCACTCGCTCACTCCCTCCCTTCTTCGCTCTGGCTCCTGGAGGCATTGGGAGGAGAATCGAAAGAATGTAAATCCCACAGGTTGAGATAAGAACAGCCCAGTAACTAAGGTATAATACAAACCACTACTGCTACCACCATCAATAATAATGATAAGGGAAATAACAAGGGGAGAGAATATAAAACTAAAAGGGGAAAAGACAATCATAAACACAAGTGATGCACAATACAATTGCTCACCACCAGCTGACCAATACCCAGCCCGACCTGAGCAGCGATCTGCATCTTCTGGGTAACTCCCCCCAGTTCATATACTGGGCATGTCATGCTGTGGTATGGAATACTCCTTTGGCTAGTCCAGGTCAGGTGTCCTGTCTCTGCTTCCTCCTGGCTTCCCATGCCCCTCTGCACTGGCAGAGCATGAGACTGAAAGTCCTTGGTCAGAGTAAACATTACTTAGCAACAACTAAAACATCAGTGTTATCAGTGTTATTCCCAGACTAAAGTTGAAAACACAGCACTGCACCAGCTACTAAAAAGGAGAAAAGTGCTACAGCTGAACCTAGGATACTGCACCAGACTTAAACAGTATATTAAAGTCTTATTGTGATATCCTTTTTCCTTATTACGATGCTCATCATCCATGTAATTCTAATGTCTTAGACTCCATAGCCTTTAGTCTTACAGAACTTTTATTGACTTTAACTAGACTTTTGCCTGAAAGTGGACTTGCCAGATCAGGCTTATCAAGTGCTAAAAGAACAGGACTAAATTGCTTTAAGTGCAAGTATTTCTACCTAGATTATTTGAGAGTGCAAGCAACCTGAAGGTACTATCATATGGCAAATCAGGTGCCAACTCCCAGATACAGCATTTGTCTTTACGTCTTTTTCTCACTGATGCTGACCCGTGGGCCTTCTTAGCTATCCAACTGCCAGACTAAACTCAGGTTTTTACTACGAGTAAACTTCTGAAATTCAACCTGACGACCTACACTGATGCACCAGAAAAGATGTCTGTGAAGACTGGCAGGTGTAACATCAGCTCTTCCTATACCTGAGGATCTTTTCAAAACTTAGACCAGACAGCTTTATTAATAGGGCATTGTGTTGGGTCTCAATGCCTCTGGATTCGGGTCATGGCTTTTCCATAGTTCCCATTGAAACCTTGGGCAGCTGTTTTAAAAAGTCATCTTTGTAACTGTAGTGTGGGTCTGAATACCATACATTCTCCTCTGCAGGAAAGGTATTCATTAGTATGTAACTTTCAGCAAGATTCCAAAGTCCAGGACCTTAGCAATTTCAATCATCTTGCTCTTCACTTTGCAGTATTTCAGTCCTCTCACCTGATGATTTGTATTTCTTGATTTGTTCAATTATTACAATATTATTAATATACATCCTGGGCAGCAGCTCTGTAACCCTCAAATGGCTTTGTCCATGCAGAGACTTTGTCATTATGTTTTTAGATATGAACACTGCTGAAGATGTCTATGCTTGGGTCATGCAATCGAGACCATCTGACACCTCCTATGACTAAGTGATGTTTTCTTGGGCATTTTGCATGAAGATCACTGAGACAGTCCAGTGGATGAAGACTGCAAGTGTCTGGCCATTTCAGTACTGATCTGATAGATCTAATTTCAGATGAGGGTTCCCAATCTCTTTGATAAAGCCAAAATAATGATCTTCACCTTCTCTGTTCACTTAAAAAACTTTCTGGTGTCTGGGAACGATAGAGCTTTATTAATTGGTTGTGTTAAACATGCCAAATTGTTGGCACTGGAACAATACCTCTAAGACAGCTCTGCTCTTCTTTCTCCACTTTCCATGAAAGCCCACCTTTAATTTTAAAGCACACTGTAAGGTCTGCATCATGCTTTCCTAAGGGCAAGGAGTTTCTCTGGTGAACTATGACACTGAAATGTATATGCTACCAAAGATACACATTGTTTTCATACCAGGAAAATAATCTGAATAGATTAATAAACAATAATCATTTTACAGAAGAAAACGGGTATCTGATGGTGCTTTGAAAGTACCTGTTTGTGTGGCTTATGCTGCTGCAGCAGCAGTGGTCATATTCACTAGAGAATACAGAAGGCTCATGTTGCAATACAGCTCCACATTTCTCATTGTAAGATGGCATTTCTCACTCAGGATCTTTCCCT